GAGGTGCAGGAGTGCAATGATCTGTGCAACGTAAGGCCCCTGCACTTCTCTCAAAATGCACACACAAAGCATTGAACAAAAACCTCTGCACAGCCCTACTCTACTGTTTTCACATACAAGGTATAATGGGAAAATTGATGGCTTTAATGGTTGTGTATATGAGGCCATTTCCTGAAGTTAAGGTAGATTGTGTATATTGGCATGTTAGGATGTAAAACTTCACATTAAGTATAGTGCTCGCACACTGTGTTCCCTAAATAACCTTTTAATGTGTCAGTTTCATTATGGAGCAAAAATACTGTGAGTGCTGTACTTTATGCCGTTTTTGCTTTCCTCTCATCACCTATGCATATAGTGTGTTGAAGTTAATATGTGCGTTTGGCAAATTTTAGACTGAAAAAGTTACCCCATAGGTGGGTGAGTGTGTGAAGCAAGCTGAGCGCATTGGCATGGCCTTTTTCCTGTGTGCAGAGCCTACAGCTGAAGATGAAGGGCCAGGGCTTCCCCTGGTCACGTCTGCTGCTGGCTATGATGGTGTTTGCTACCGGCTTCATAGTCCATGATGTCAGATCCCACGGCTCCTTCAAAGGTTAGCTTCCAAACGTTGAACAGCACCAGCCACTGTTGAGAAGACATTACTGAGAACATGGTAATGGTGGGGTTACTCTAATTCTGACCATGTCATGCACCTGCTGAACAAATCCCTTTGGAATGTTCCCCTGCCAGGTGACATTCATTTTCAGAGAAGTATGTTCACCTGTTGATGAATTTCAAGTAGGGACTGAATGAATGAGTAAAACTCATCTGGGTTAATCAAGACAGGCATTTTAAGTTCACATTTACCAAGTGGAGAGGCAGAGATTAATTTTACTAGTTGAAGTGGGGGATGATTAGGTATGTAGATTAGTATGACTACTCTTGACTGTTAAGGAATAGGGATTTAATGCTCAGTGTTTTGTCTGAAAGATGAACTGACACCTGGTGAGACAAGTGATGACTCCTCTTTTCACAGAGGAATTTGAAGTTATTGATGAAGATTTTACAATGCAGTGCACTGTTGCCTCTTGCTTATAAAGAAGCCTGAATTAACAATTGTTGTTAAACTTGTAAACTGGTTGTTAAACTTAGACCTTTTTTGTTGTTGCTATTTTTCAGCCTCTACCACAGCAAATTACCTGCAGCAGTCAGGATTGATGTCAGTCTCGCAGCAGGCCTGGAGCAAAGTTTCACACTACTCTCAGGAGGGATTCAGGTCAGTCACATAAACTGCCTCACTAAAACACTGTCAAGGTCAGACTCTCACCTGCAGTAGTACACATTCCACATAGTTAGAAGATGGGTCATGTCAGTGCACAGTAAGACCAGAGAGAAGACCATTTACACATTCACAGTCTAATGCAAAGCGGCAGCAAGGTGTAGCAGGTAAGGACCTGAACTTATAACCCAAAGGTTGCAGGGCTGAATCTCAGTATAATCGCTTTTTCAATGTACAGTGCACTACTGATGGTAAGAACTAATGGCAATAATAATGAAACTTAAACTTTCGACTTGTTGCTAATGTGATGTGTTTCCTAGCCACAGCTTACCATGTCAGCTAAAAACCCTTTGTGACATTAAAACTGAACATTGTGTTTTGGTTTGCTGGAAAGAAAGCTATGTTTGTAGGAGATGCCATTATGTACAGCAATTAAACCATAAATGAAGTGGAGCTATTAAAATGTCACACAATCAGTCTGTTCTCAAGGGGGAAGAATGAAATGGCATTTAATACTCACCGATGAAAGAGTACTTCTGATTTCAATTTTGACTGGAGAATTGGTACAGTGTGGAGTAGGATGTGTGCACCATGTTTCCACAATTCTAATCATTCACAAGAGCCTTTCATCAAATTTTGTATAGAGAATCTTAGATCTTTTCTGTATTATTCAACTCTATAATCATCTTATTAAATTGTGTGCATATACATATAATATATAAAAACATAGACACACACACACATACATATACATATATAAAAATAATCTCTTTCTCTCTTCCTGCAGTTGGTTGGAAACGAATGCTCCATATTACTACTCGGAGGCAGTCACTGCTGTCGGACCCATACTGGAAGTTGCTTGGGATAAGACAAAAGTCACCAGTGTCTTCATTGTGGAACAGTGCTCAGACTTCATTGTATGGGTCAAAGAAAATACTCCTCGGTTTATTGAATGGGTAAGAGAAGCTGTCCTGGCAATAGAAAAAATTTTTATACTGCAAAGTGGGAACATGCTTTTAATACCTTTCTCTATGCATGTGTATTTTTTTTTTTTCTTCAGCTCAATGCTAACATCCCGGACAGCGTGTTTCAATTCCTTGAGTATATGAAGGAGCTTCTATTGTTTATCCATCAAAATTATCTCCTGCCATCTATGATGTATATTAAAGCATCACTGGAACATGCGTGGCAGATGTTTGTAGATTCCTGCAAGTAAGTACCAAAACTCTATATTTAATGTGGAGGATGTGCTTTTCTTCCGCATTGTTGGGTATTGATATTTTAAATTGATACATTTAAAATGCAGATTGAATATGCAGTTTGTAGTTGAATATATTTACTTACCCAGACTACAAAGGTAGATTTAAGTTAAATATATTTAAATGTTAACTTTTTTCATATCCATTGTGAATGTGATGAAGCAAATTCTTGATGCTTTAGATACCTGAAGTAACAGAATGAGTTATAAAAAGCAAGCATTCCATGTATTTCTGTGCAATCATCTTTTTTTCCTTTTTCTTTTTCAGTGGGGAAGTATCGTTACACTGTGTCCAAAACCACGTGATAACCATTACCAATTCCACCTGGACGTATATGCAGGACACCACTGTCGCCATTAAAAATTGGGCGATTGAACTGATGTCTAGGTCGTGAGAAGTGCATGAAGCACTCGCTCAGAGACTGTATTCGCTTGTGTTCGCCCAACCAGGGACTAAAACCACCTGCGCTTTTTAAAATGATGGCTTAAAGAAGGAAGATGGAGAAGACACTTGTAAAAGACTTTTTTTTTCTTGTCAAATTGCATGAAATTTTATATCACACTTATTTTCTACCAAAAGTTGTATCATGTTTGGGTGCACAGACATTTTTCCTTTTTTACAGGAGTATTGAGGTTTATAAAGAACCAGTATTATATCAAATTTAATTGCCAAATGGGACAAACTGGAACCCTGGTACCAGCTTCCAGCCGTATATGAAAGTCTTCTTTTAAGATATTTAAGATGAACACACAAGATGCAAGATACACATTGAAGATACGTGTTTTAGATCGTTTCCCTGATAATGCTGGACTAAAAATGAAAATGCTTAACACTGAACAGTTAAAACCCACCGTCCTTGATGAAGTCCATGGTGGGTTAGGTGTTTTGAATGACCACAGTTTCGGAAGCTGGTTACCTGGTTTGCTCCCATCTCCACATCCAAGTTCCTTAAATTCTCTTTTTTTATCGTATTGGTGTATTCCCATTGTGAAAGAGCACTGGACTATGGATTACTACTGCTGCTTAATATGATATATTTTACTTGAACATCAATTCTTTTCTGTCGTAGGGCGATTCAGTGACGATTGACCTACCTCTGTGCGGTTTAGTAGATCTAGGCTTATGCTCCTCTCCCGAGTCCCTGCATAGAGCTCCCAGAGCATACGCAGCCCTGACCTTCGCCCGCCCTCAGCCTTTTCTTTGCCATGGCATGCTGTCTCTCTGGAGAGGAGAAGTCCGTGGATTGCACGGAACAGTGGAATGAACGATTTAAATTCAAGGCTTGTAAGAGGGGCTTGTATGAGCTACTCTGTTTAAAAACCAATAAACATTTGAAATTTGGAATATCAGCCTGAAGGGTGAACCAATTTGTGACTTTGTATATGTAAGATGTTTATAAATAAAGACTGTTCAGGCCGTTACTGTGTTGCAGTTCATGAATATTTTTTTTTCTTTTAATACCCCGCCTCACCCCCAATGTCTTTGGATCTCAGTGGATCAAAGTTTGATATAGAGAGCAGTTTCAGACTTGTACAGTAGCATATATACATGTATATACAATTTCACTTGCCACCAGGGCGTCCATTTCAAGGAAATGGCACTGAAAACGATAAAGATTTTTAGGACTTGGCAAATATGGCTAAATTACCAAAAAGCTGACTCGCTATTACAGAGGAATTGAGAGGCTGGCAAAGGCATCATACACTCCAGGAGGAAACCTACATACCATGTAGCTAACGTTTAACGTTTTAAAAGTGAGTGAAATTGTTAAAATGATGGTATATATATTTTTAGTTGTATCAGGTTAATTTGTACCACTAGGGGAAACGTTCAAATTCTTTATTGGCGTGACTATTTCAATAATAACTAAGTTGCCAACACAATCGTTATTTGGTGAGGCGTTTAGCAAGTATAAAGATAAACAACATCCAACAAGCAAAAACTTATAACTGTACCAATAACAGCTTTGAGATGGCTGGACGTTAGGTGTTTAATGGTTAGTAAATCTCAGTACCAAATGATAGAACTGGCTTGTTTTCGGGTGCAATTCATGGTTTGAAGTGCCCGAAATTGCCGAGTGTCTTTGGCACTTGATTTAAGATGCATCCACAGTTTTAAGCGCTTTATTTTATTGTTTTAGGATGTTTTATTTTGCGTTGTCTGTGGAGATAAAACGTTCATTACTATAAAATCACTCGAGTGTCAGTTTGGACATTTGCATATGCATCTTAAAAAACAATCCCGACTGCATTAATTTGGCAAGGTTGACTTTACAGGACGCCGAAAGACTCGACAGCGACCAAAGAGGAAACCAGTGTACTTTGCATATACTTAACGTTAAAAGCAAACTATCCGAGATGTTGACAACATTCATATACATGTAATGGACAGACCTGAAAATATTAAGATAAGTAAAGCATAAATCAAATATTTGTATACAGCTAGGTTGTGTATTTATTGCTATCAAATCGGAGTATACACATCGGCCTTCGATAGCTCAGTTGGTAGAGCGGAGGACTGTAGAGGTGCAATTGCCATCCTTAGGTCGCTGGTTCGAATCCGGCTCGAAGGACATGTTTTTGGATATTTTCGGCAGGAGGGAACAGTAACAGTTCAACGTCTACGGTTCACGACCTAGTTAATATATGTAGCCTCGACATGGTAGAGTCTCATTTTAATAGTAACTTAATGGATTTAGTATAGAAAACTGAGGGCGCACGTGGCCGTCAGGGTAAATGGTCGCGACCTCACTGACTTACCAGCGTTTACTTTATCATTAAAATAAGTTAGGTTTACTCACATGATAGAGACAATGTAAGGGTGATGTTTTGAGACAGTGAATGTGTTCCGTTGCATGGTTTTCACGCCAGCATCGCCGTCGGGGGTATGAATTAAATGATTCTAGACTGTTTCACCAAGTTGTAGTTTAGTGATTATAAGTGCACTGCGGCAATAAACTGTGCGTGCGGGGGATTAGCTCAAATGGTAGAGCGCTCGCTTAGCATGCGAGAGGTAGCGGGATCGATGCCCGCATCCTCCAATGTCGCTTTTTTCCGATAGATTTTGAATCTGAAATCTATTCAGACGTGGACCTGGCGACCCTTCAATTTTCAGCTGTCTGTAAAATGACTGGTGCCAAAATCGATGTAAACAGGTTGCTGAATAAATAGTATCTTTCTGACTTCACAAACACACTTCAATCAATTTGTTTTCTCGGCAGTAAGCAACTGTCAAGTATTGTCAATTCCAGATCAGTGTTCAGTGAACATATTAGTAAAATCAAATTAATTAGCACCACTGGAATCAAAGCCAATTTCTGCAGTGTGACTCAAGGACTTGGGTTAGGCACGGGGAATCTACCTTCGTTTACTACATGGCTTGAATGGAGGCGAAAAGCTAGATATGATATGTGGTTAGATTTGCGATCGACATACGACTCTCTCCACCATACCATACAGGTTATCATTTAATTAAACGAAATGAAATGATGGGACGGTTTCGGTTTTCTAAAATTCTGTCGACGTGTAAATAAAAATATCGATCACTGAAGTTCAGCAACCGGGTTATGCCCTGCTTGGAGATAACATACTTTAAAATAATTCTCAGCATTTAGGCTACCCGTTGCCGCACCCGTATTTTAATTTATCGAGCGTTTTAATGGGATATTTTTGACGCAGTAGACCTGTTACAGCTAATTAATTTTCAAAAATCTGAAAACATGAATGTTATTGAGGATGACCTGTAACCCTATAACCTACTACTTACTCAGCCACACTACAATGTTCTTTCTGACGTACGCTCAAGTAGATCTGACCAATCCCTACCCGCTTTGTTTTGAGGTGTTTCCTTTCTTCTCTGAGCCAATCAGCGTACGGCTTGTTGTCGTTCCGCGGAGACGGGAGCTCGATGGGTTTGTTTGGGTTTAAAGAGCTGGTTGTTGGTCGCAAAGGACACGTACTGGAGAAATGAAAACATTACAGTAATAAAGTCATCCTAATCGCTAGCTTGCTATTTAAGTAGTTGCCGTGGCCGTGTGATCGGAACTATTATATGGAAATATCAGTGCCTTCAGCATGTGAAAGATTTTTCACATTCTTTATTTTTGCACATCCAACGTTATCCATCTTAGCTGCCTAATTAGCTAGCGAACTAACGTTAACGCTAGCTTCTTTTATCTTTTTAGCAAACTAGCTATGTAGCTTGTCAGAATGAGTAACGTTACCTTTAAGTACCCTCGCTGCGGAAGAATACATTGAAATGGTAGCTTGCTAGCTTTAATAGAAATGATCTAAGCATGTATCCAGCTAATGTTAGCTAGGTAGTCTAGCTATTTATGTTGTATTTGAAACGTTTGCTAAGGTCGAGATGTTCGACGTGCTAATGTTTGTGTGTTCACAGATTTAAAGAGAACAACAGCAATATATGTTCGAATAGCTTGTATGATTATGCATCGAATATTTGTTTTATTGTGATTGTATTTAGCAAATGGTTTTAGCTGTCTAGTTAGATAGCTAATGTTAAAAGCAATGAGCTAGCCGCCTTCACACTAATTAAAAGGTTGCTAGCTAGTTATTTACTACATTACTATCAAGCTGTTTACTTATTGCAGTCAGATCGAAAGGAATTAATAAGGTTTAAAAGTAGCTTCGTCTCTTTATTTCCTTCGTAAATGCATGTTGTGATCTATTGTGGCAGTTTGAATGAGGGGAAATGACAAATCATTGGCATCGCTGGGAACGATCTTTCTCAAACGGCCACAAAGATCTGAGACCACTGTTTGCTTGGTAGGGATACTGTCACTAAGATCTAATAAGTTGTTTATCATTGAGCAGCATGATTGATCAGGTTTGGCTGGCAATGCAGAAGTAGGTAGTCGATAGACCGTCGTCTAGAGCAGCACTTTCCGCATTGTTCCCTCTCTGTCATTTTCATTGCCTTTATTGTTCTTTATTATCAGGTTTCCACGTTAAAGATGCGTCGTCTCAGGGAATCCACAAGACCAATGCATGACATCAGTACTGTGTCAGTAAGTGTAAACACACTGAAAAGTCAAACTCTTATTTTCTCAAATAGAAAATCGAAACAGGCCACAGTATTCAGTATAATATTGATGAAGACTGTTTCAGGTTTTGCATGTTTAATCAGTACTCTGAATTTTGCTTTTGCAGATGTCGGGATTGGTTTGACCTCCTACATGAGGGACAGAAAACGAGCTTTGGGCACTCGTTTAGGTGCAGAGTACAAATATGGAGTTCCGCTTCGGAAATGTGATTTTCAGCTCCAAATTCGACTCTGGTAACTTGGCCCGGGTTGAGAAGGTGGATCGCTCCGAGTCAGAAGGCGAGGGTGCTGGATCTGGGACTGCCGTTTCAGGGGTCCTGTCGGCAGGGCTTTGCAACCCGGACTATGAGTTCAACGTTTGGACGAAACCTGATTGTGCCGAGACAGAGTTCGAAAATGGGAACAGGTTAGCTGTTTGACTTTTAAAGGGGTGTTTTTGCATTGCCTTGCCTTTTTGTGTTGGTATCACTGCTCTGTAACCTACCATAAATAGGAATGCTGAGTGTGACTTCCTGTCTTTCTTGTAAGTGGATTTTCAAACAAAGGGAAGTGTGCATGTATGGCTAAAGTTTGTGCAGTGCTCTTCATTTATCAGAATCACTGATAAAAAGCCGATTATGATCAAATTGTGCAAAAACTAAGGTCCTTAAAATATGCCCATTATAAGCACAAAACATTTAATTTCATTTAGTAGAAATGTATCACACAAAACAGATGAGAATCTATAAAGGGTGTTTGGTATTTTCTGTTTTATAGAGAGACACATCAGTTTAAATGCAAATAAAACAGGCTAGGAAGTAGTAGTGCACTGTAAGACTCACTGGGGTCTCCACTCATATGTGGACAGGCCTCAGATATAGGGAAACAAAAACATTTGGCAAAGCTGAGTGGAAAGATACAAGAACATTCCTGTTTTATTTAAATTGAAACAATAACCACTATTCCAGACACATTCTTTGCATTAGCTTCTTTAGTAGCACTGCAAATTTCTAGGTTCCATGTTTCCAGTCAGTAGTTTTGTTTCCATCTCTTAACTGGCTGCTCATCCACTCATGTGGCATATGCTTTGCCTAAAGACTTGGTCATACAAAGACAAGGCCACTGGGGGAGGGTTTTTTTCCCATTATCATATCATTATATTAACATTAACCCAGGGGTGCCGTAAGTAGATGCTGGTATTGTATTGGAATGGTGCACTCTTGTGGGGTATATTGTTTTGCACTTGTGTGTTGGTGTTGAGCCAGGTGTGCATTTGTGGTCTCAGCCTTGTGTGTTTGACACTGTGTGCATGATGGTTTCCTCGTTTATGTAATGTTTCGTGTCATTTTGCGAGATGGCCTTTATGCTTGACTCCTGGGGTCGCTCTGGATAAGAGAGTCTACTGGATGTCAACAATCTAAATGTAATGTTATATGTACTCATATAGTCATTAGCTCTGGATAAAAGTGGCTACATGATGTCCACAATGTAAGTGTATTGTTAAAGGTACTCTTGTATGTTGCTCTGGGTAAGTGTGTCTGTGACAAAATGTAACTGTAAATTTCAAAAACCACCATCAGAATTTCAGTCATCTGTAACTCCAAGGGATAAAACTTCAGCAAAATAATTGTTGCCAAATCTTTTTTTTTTTTTTAAGGTCCTGGTTCTATTTCAGCATCCGTGGTGCAAGCCCCGGAAAGGTTATTAAAATCAATGTCATGAACATGAACAAGCAGAGCAAGCTCTATTCCCAGGGCATGGCACCGTTTGTGAAGACTTTGCCCGTGAAGACCCGGTGGGAGAGGCTGCGTGACAGGCCAGTGTTCGAGGTACGTCGTAATGGTGGCACAAAGTATTGTGGGTAAAGCAGCAGTAAATATTTAGCTATATAATATATAAAAATGTAAGCAAGGTAAGAAGTCCTTTTTCCAGAAATGAGTATAATAATGTAGTTAGCCAACATGATCTTGGCTATATGTCTTCTTTCTTCTGGTAACAGCCTGTATTATTAGCTGACTTTAATTTGCATGTCTTTCTGAAAGCGCTGCTTTGGAAATCAGTACATAAGCCCTTTATGTGTAACTGTGTCTGTATAAAATATGACACATTTTTAATTAAGGATGATCTACAGTGCAGTTGTCTTGTTTGTGTACAGATGGCGGAGAATCAGTTCATTCTATCTTTCAATCACCGCTTTCTGGAAGTCCGTGGGACCACAACATACTTTGCTTTCTGCTACCCATTTTCATACACCGAATGCCAGGATATGCTACAGCAGCTGGATCAGAAGTACATCCACTCTATGCACCTTAGTCCAAATAGGTAGGCAAAGAGAGCTGGTGTTTGTGACATATAAGATATTGTCATATTGTCCTCATAAATCTATCCTGGTTAAGGTAATTTTTCTCCATGACACAATCCATTTATTGTCAGTTAAAAACACAATGTTAAGGTTGTTGTTGACATCAACAGCTTCACCTTCACAGCAGTGATAGGCATTGTACTGTATACTTTGTACTGGTGCCAAAGTAG